TCACAGGAGCCCCTGTTGTCTTCCTAAGCTCTATTACATCCTCTGTCTTTCTAATAGCTGTGATAAAAATAGCAAGTGATTCCAGTCTGCCTTCAGAGCTGTGCCTAAAGAAGATGTGCAGTGACACAGGGACATGTCCCAACTCCCTGGGATTACACACAGTCACATCAGCCTACAGATTGGACAATAAATTTTTAACATTCATCTCCAGCCCGGGGGGAGTTCACTCTGTGTTACAGTGTCTCCTGGGTGGAGCAGGCAGCAAAATTGTGATTCACCAAGTGTTTTGTTTAACAGGGAAGAGGCAGGCTGAAAGAAAACAGGGCACTCTCCAAAAACTGTGCATTGCCTCGTGGTTATGCAATCATTCCAGAACAGAGTCATGAATGTCCTTCAATTGTGTGGAACTTGTACCAGATATTCGTGCAAAAATGAAGTGCTGAGGGTCCAAACCTGTGGGAAAATGTGGCTGATGTGTGTGAGGAAGGACATGAAGCTGCTGGAATGAGTCCACAGGAGGCCACCAAGGGGATCAGAGGGATGGAGCAGCTCTGCTGGGAGGAAAGGCTGAGGGAACTGGGATTGTTCAGCCTGGAGAAGAGAAGGCTTTGGGGTGACCTCACCTGTGGCCTTGCAGTGCCTGAAGGGAGCCCACAGGAAAGATGGAGAGGGACTCTTGACAAGGGCCTGGAGTGACAGCACAAGGAGCAATGGGTTCACACTGACAGAGAGCAGGTTTAGATTGGATGTGAAGAAGAAATTGCTCCCTGTGAGGGTGCTGAGGCCCTGGCACAGGGTGCCCAGAGAAGCTGTGGCTGCCCCATCCCTGGCAGTGTCCAAGGCCAAGCTGGACGAGGTTTGGAGCAACCTGCAATAGTGGAGGCTGTCCCTGCCCATGGCAGGTGGTGGGAACTGGATGATCTTTGAAGTCCCTTCCAACTCAAACCATTCCATGATTCTGTGATAAAAGAGTGAGACAGGACAAGGAATGGACTTACCCCATATTAAATGGGGTAAGTCTGGATAGAGGGCTCCCATATCACAAAACTGTAAACTGTAGGGAATACAGGAATCGGAGATAAGGTGCTGATTTAATTTCCTTCTTTTGAAATACCCTGCTTTGTCCTACAGTGTCCAAAGCAGCCTCAGGTGCGTGTGTGAAGAACTGAATGGAATAAAGTTACACCCAGCCTGTCTCCACAGACCTCTAGAAACATCTGGATCTATTGTGAGTGCTTGACACTGGCTTAGCTTGTAAAAGAAGCCATACAGCTAGCCCTGGAGAGTAAATGTCATAAATTCATAAGTCCACAACGCAGGGTAAGCAGTAGAAAGTGTGTTCTTATGCTATCCATCTATTTTGTGTTAAAACTGTCCCCCAGCTTTGCTTCTCCTCTCTGCCTGTGCAGCCTCTCTGTTGGGATTGCTCCCAGCAGCACACAAAGGGGGGGCTTCTGTGCCAGAGGCTCAGCTGACACCCCCAGACACGTCCCACACAGCTGCAATCTGCTTGAGACAGCAGCTGGGACATAATAACCCACAGTGCTGACACAGGTGAGAGAGCCTTTGGAACTGAATCCCTGCTTTAGCATCCCACTGCTCAGGCTCAGCAAAGCCTCACTGCAAAGTGACTCAGAGCAGTGGAAGAGGATGAGAGAACAAAAGGGTACCAGGAGAGGCTGCCTGCTCCATCTCTCCTCCAACAGTAATCCAGAGTGTCACTTGTTCCTGAGCTATTCCCAATGACCTGAAATGCAGTGAGGAGGATAGCAAAATGAATTCTGCACTGCTATTCTGACAACTGACTGTGTGCCTGCACAAAGCTTGTTTGTACTGCTTCTGATTCATTGTTTAAAAAAAATACCTTGGGACACAACAACAGCCACTGCAGAAGAACCAAACTGAGTGGAAGTATGGCTCACCAACCACAGGACCTTGCTGATTTGAAATCTGCATTTTGAATTTCTAAATCCTTGTGTTTTAAATGGAGGACTCTTCATGAGAAAGAACAGATAAGTCAATCCCTTTTCCCATCCTGCATGGGAAGCCCCAAGTTCCCATGAAGCCCCACAGAAGAGTTTGGGAGGCAGACAGCCTTGTCCTCTCTATCCGGCTTTCCCTCACCACCGAGCCTTGCACTGGGATAGACAACAACACTTCTGATCTGGTCCTGTCATGGAATCAAATGTTACTTTTCAAATATTCTAAGCTTTCCTGGTGTCTATTTAGTACAAGAAAGGTCCATTTTCCACCTAGAAATAAAGCCACTCTTGGGCCAAATGGCTTCAAGGGTAAAGCCTCTTGATTATTGTAAACAGATTTCCCTTACATTAAATGCTGTGAAAAACCCAATCCAAGAAAAACAGAAATCCCTCAGGAAGCCATTATTAAGTCATCTGGACTCAATGCATACTCACAGGTATCCCCCTACCATTATCATACAGGAAAGAACATGGTATCTATACTTAGTGAAGGTATTCATTAAGGTGATCTGTATGGGAAAACTTGCTTTTATAATTTTACCACTGAGTTCACAGGGACTGGACTGCCCTTATAGATATTCCAATAAAATAAGAGTTGGGAGTTTTGCTTTCTTGGGTTTTTTCTGGTTTAGTTTATAGAATTTTGAAAGTGAAACAGATTAAGTCAGGAAAAGGGAGTTCTAATTGGGAATAGGACTAATCCCTATAGCCTGCATCCAGTGATTGAATCTTACCTTTTCCAGTTTCCCACACTGAAACTACCTTGATGTAAGATCAAACCTTTTGTGCTTCTGAGTTTCTGGTGTCTCTCAGAATCTCCTATCTACTACGTGCTTTTAGGACAGAATTTAGGACTACACAAACATTCTGATTGTTTGTATAAGAACATAGTGAGCCAAAAGACCTTACAGACAAGTGTTGCCTTAATGGTCATCACTGCTACAGAATTCCAGATGCACACAGAGTTTGGGAAAATCATTAAAAATGCCCTATAACCATCACCAGCAGTAAAATATAAAAGATTATTTTTATTCTATAAGGCAATTAGCAAGTGGATTTGCTTGGGCACAAGAGCAAAGGCCCACCTGAGTTCTGCGTCCTCGTGGGGGCTGTGCCCACCTCACTTTCAGCAGCACATCCCACAGTCCCTCTCAGCTTCAGCACAATAAAATCAGCTGCTCTGTTATTTCTGACCCTCTCCAGATCCATCCCAGTTACTCTGGATCACTCTTCATGGCAAAGAGGGCAAGTGGCCAGACCTTGTGAGAGCTTCTCCTGGTACTCAAGGCAGTGCTCTTGACAGTCTGGCTTGACTGAGAGCAGAATGCTACCAAGTAAAAGGATTTTTTAAGGAATAGCTGAATGTAAGTCTGACTTGGCTGAGAAGCAGATGTATTTTTAGGGCTCTGCAGCACAGCTGTGACACCAGAATTTAATGAGTTGCTACAGGACAGCTAGGTCAGTGTCAATTGAATTTTTAAAAGTACTGAAGTGTACTTTTAAATCCCTTTTGATGAAAACACAACAAATATTCTTGTTTTCATTTGCTCTGAGAGAACTGTAGACAGAGTTAGTTACTGCTGATAACATTACAGATCTCAGGATGAGTTTGTTTTTGAGCTCTGAAATATCCATTGTGAACCAGCATCAAGCCCACAGTTCTAAGGGCCCCCTCCCTATAAAGCAGTAAAATGTCACATAGTTGTCTTTGGCTATTGCAATCCTTCCACTAAACCCTGACTATCAGGTAACAAACCTAGAGATTAGAAAGCAAATTACTTGGTCATGGTTTTCTGAGGTCATTTTAATTCAGCAACTTCCTCAGGAACTGTGGAATTCTTAATCAAAAAGCATTTAATCTAGTGTCACTGAGAAAAACACCAATGCATTGCACTTCTGAAGTGCCTCTCAGCTAAAGATAGGAAAGGTTTTTACAAACACTGCTGACTCACACTGCCCCTAGCAGAGAAGTGTTAATACTATCATTTAAAATAAAACAAAGCTGTAGCACTGATGTGTAAGCCTGTACCTGGGCAAAGTGAGCAGACAGGCACAAGCAACAATCCTCCAGGTCCTTTTTTCTTCTTTATTTCTACCTGATTTTTCTATGCTTATTATTCCTGTTCTTCTTCTATATATTAATGTGTATATAGGTCTATTTATTCATGTTATCTACATACATATACTCATACATATTCATTTATATATTTATGAAAATGCATAAAGGACAAGGACTTTGGAGAACACTAAGTATTCCAACATCAATACATATTGTACAATTTAATAATTATGGCAATAACAATAGAAAATTGTACATGTCACTAGTTTCATGGACAAACCCCACAATTCCTGTACCTTTTGCAACAGAATCTAAGAAGTAAAATAGGATTTTGGAATGGTATTGAACATGCTGCAATGCTTTCCCAACAGCTGAATATTCAATTATATTTTGTAGCACAGCCATAGGTAAAATATTCTGAATTACAATGAATCATGCAATTGATATTAAGTAAATCAAACATCCAGCTCCTAGGGAAGAGTCAGGAAATCAGGTTTGGAAAGAAGAACTTGCAGCAGCTCAGGTCTGAGGGTCTGTGTATTTACATGTGGAGGTTTCATGACTGACCTCAGATTCTGGGCCTTTAGAAAGGATAGCACATGCAACAGAATCTTCAAAAAGATTAAAAAATTGTATCTGGGTGTGCACTTGAACCTTTATTTTCCCTGGAAGGAACTCTGTAAATAGTTACCAAATGAAATCAAACCTAAGATGCAAACATGGAGCTCTCTAGAATTAGATGTGTGTGGCTGTGATCAAGTTGCAATGCCTGAATCCAGATGCTTTCCATTTGTGGTCTGGCATAGGTCTTCCTCACAGAAAGAAGACTAAAAGGATTTTCAAAAAAATAAAGAAATTCTTGTATTCTGAAATGCAGGATTTTTTTAAACTCTAACTTTTTTTCCTTTGTTTTGTTTGTTTGTTTGTTTTGAAAATTGTTTTGTTCCAACTCTACTCACCCCCGGTTGATTCACTGCCTTCCACCTTTCCTACTCAGCCAGCTGGGAGCTGAAGGACATTTTTCTGGCTACTTCCTTCATGTTGATGACAACACTCATTATTTCCACATACCTGCTTTGAAAAGAAAGTCAATTTAGGAGTCAAACATGCTACAACAAAAATGCTCTGTTTTGTCTGACTTTATGAAACAACATTTCAAATAAAAGCCACATTGGGATAAATAAACAGTCACATGCAAGGTCACTAGCTGTCACTAAGATACCTTTACTTTAAAGGATCAAACTCTCTCTTTCAAGCTTTTGGTTAAACTGGGTTTCAGCAAGCACTAGTTGGCCAAAATCACAGTTGCTCTGGCTGCCCATGGACAATATGTACCTCTCCAAATCTTCATCAGCCTCTGAATGGAGATTACCTCATTTTCCTCCCTCTGTCTCTTTGCCTCTACTTGGTGCTCTCAGACTCTGCCTCACACCATCCCCACAAGTCTCATTGCAAAAGCCATCACATGTTTGGCTCCCTCTTTTCACTTCCTGCAGACCTTCACAAATTCCTGGCAGAGAGGGAACAAGCTTTTTCACTCCCTCACCCTGGAGTTCTGTCAGTTCTTAGAGCTGTGTTCAAACCTAATCTCAGCCCCGGACATACTTTTACCATAAAATCATCTTTTAAATTACTCCACATTAGTATTGATATGAGCAGCACCTCTAAGCAAGCTCACTTGGACATTTCCTAGGTGCTGGGGGCTGTTACGGCATGGGGGCAATTTCCAGGAGCAAATCTCTGGACTCCATTTTACCACTCCATTACGTGACTCAGCCGTGGACTGTGAGCTGCAACGGGTGACAAGAAGATAAAAGGCCACCCTTAGTCATGGCTTCTTGAAGGTCAGGCTGTTCTGCCAAAATTATCTAGGAGGGAATTGCTTTGTCATAGGCCAACCTGACACTTGCAACCACAGTTTCCTCAGAGCCATCAGCTTGCAAGAGAAGCAAAGGGCAATAAATGAACTTTTCATCCAGGCAGTCCTGGTGGTATTTCCAGGTGACTTGTGCTTGTGAAAGTGTCTCCATCTCAAAGGCAGCTTTCCAGATTCTCCTCTCTGCCACAACCAGAGTTTGCATGTGCCAAATGTGTCAGCATACCTCAGCATGGTCACCCACATCAAAAATGGGAGAGGAGTTGGTTTCCTAAAGTCTTTAGAAGCTTTTTTTCAAATGCCACCTCTCTCTCACTCAACACAATGATGGTTAAATCTCTAATTTGTTTTCTGTGGCACTGAAGTATCCATAATGTGATTTACTTGACCATGATGGGAGGAGGTGAGTTGTTTTCTTGTTTATACTGTTTGAAGATGTTGCCAATAATCTTGGATTCCTTTCACAATTTCCATATGTGGCCACAGAGAACTATTATTTATCCCTTTATTTGCCCTATTTTTTTCCCTCCACCAAGATTCTAGGTCAGAATACCCTCTTGATTTTGTTTCCTGAAGCACCCAAAATACACAAATGCACATTGCACCATTAGTTTTTAAGTGGTAAACAACAAAAAGATAAGGAAATATTTTTGATTTTTTTTTAATATGCCTGGCAGATAGGGAAAGGCAGTGTCAGGTTGTAAGATATCATACCTGAGGGGCTTCACTTTGTGTCAATAGGAACAGTTCATTGACCCACTCTGGTCAATTGATTTGCTGGAGAAAGCAGCTGACTTGGTTTCTTACTGTGGAGTACCTTGTTGTGTCTTGTTTGACCTCTAGCTACTAAGAAATACCATCTCTGTGTTTGTACAACATCATTTAAAATGACCAATTTTATTGCTTAGTCTTGCCTGTAAAATGTCAACACCCTAAGGCAGAGGAGAGGAATCTGCAAACATTCCTCACAGCTTACTGGAAATTACTGGGCAGCTCCATGAGCTATGGAGGTCCTTGGGACAAGTCAAGCGAGGAAATGCATCATGATATGAGTGCAACTTCATTTCTGGGATGAAACCCCCCAGAACCACTGAGAAAACTCTCAGTGGTGGGAATTGGCTCTTTCTCACTGAAAATTTGCGCTAAATGTGTTCCTCGTCTGCAGGTTCAATTTAGCCCTGAAAGCTTAATTAGTGTTCCTTAGCAACAGGGAAACATCCTGATTGACAAAAGCCGCCGGTTTTGGCTGAGCCTTCAAAGTGCTCACTTCATGGTTATTTTTAAACTCCTCAAATTCACAGCTGAGCATTTCCATTCAGAGTGAAATTCATCAACAACAACAGAAAAGAAACATCCCCAGAGTGATGCATTTCTGAGGAAAATGGGAGGTAGGAGCTCGGCTCAAACTTTGTGATCTATGGCAGCAGCAGTTTTTTGCCTTTTCTCCCTCAATCTAGAGAAGAAACTGGGGCTACTTGGGTGAAGAGGAAACCAAACAGAGACTTCAACAATTAATGAAAAAGACTATAAATTAAAGGGAGTGAGGACTTGAATGAAAACATTTGTAGATAACTTGTGAAGTCTTTTGCTGTCAGCACCAAAGAGCTTCAAGAGGTACTCAGAAAGCAAAGTGGACAAACAGTAAAGAAAAATCAAAAGATAACCCCCCCCATATTTATACAGTTCAAAATCATAATACTAATGTATGTTTGAAGATACTATTCCATCACCATCAGAAATAATGTCTGGTGGCATACTTGTACAAATCTGCCTAAAGCATTTGTAAATTTTGCATTGTAATAAAATAAGAATGATGCTTACACCTCTAAGTATTCAATTCTGGAAAAATCCAGCAGTAATATGTACTACACATGAATATTTATAAGAGTGAAAAAATGATGATACCCTTATTTAATTTTTAAACTGAGATTTTGGATATTATTAACTCTCCTGGCAGTATTAAGAGGAATAATTTCATAATTCAGTAGTGAAAAGAACTGCAAATGAACCGTAAGTAAACAGAGCTGAATTATCTTTTGCAAAGATCTCAGAGGCTGAGGGTATGCAGGTTGCATGTGAAAACCTACAGAAATCAGATATATTTAAAATGTGACAGACCACTTCTCTCTGAGTCCCCATGCTCAGGAATAAATCTGCAGGCATCCCTCTGCCTCTGCCTGCAGCCCTGTGTCCCAGAACAATCTGACTGCATTGCAGTCCCAGGTGCTTTGGTTTGATTTCCTAGCTATTTAAAATGGTTTTAGCCTTAACAATTGCAAGGGGGAAAACAAAAATTAATCTTGAAGCCAAATGTAGGGAGTGGCAAGAGCACTGCACTTCACGTGGGGAGATATGACAGGAGATGGGAGCACAGCAAAGGGATGCACACAGATTATCCACATCATGCTGGCAGCTCCCTTTGGAAGGTTCACACCCAGAAAGGAGCTGTGCCATGCAGAGGAGAAGGGACCTCCTGGCCCTGGCTGGGACAAAGTAAATTGCCCTTAAAATGTGTGCAGGGGGGATGCCAGCTCTGCAGCAACCAGGGCTTTGTTCTACAGGCCCGGTCTTGTTTGCTCCCAGCGTCTGCTCCTGTGAACACAACGTCTGATGCCACCAGCACCCCCAGGGGCCAAATCCCACTCTGTCCCCAGCTTTCCCCTGTGCAGGAAACCAGAACAACACACGTGGGGAGCCAGCTCTGCAGAAGACCACAGTGATACCCAACAAAAGAAAATGAAGTTTTGGCAAATGGGACAAACCAGGACTACACAAAATAGACACCCAGTAGCTGATGCTACCAATGATGAAGACAGAGCAGGAAACAAAGCACAAAATCTGGTCTCTTACAACTGACTCCATCAGGTTTTAATCTTGGAATCACAGAATGGTTTGGGCTGGAAGGGACCTTAAAGATCATCTCTTTCCAAACCCCTGCCATGGGCAGGGACACCTTCCACTATCCCAGATTGCTCAGAGCCCCATCCAGCCTGGCCTGGGACACTGCCAGGGATGGGGCAGCCACAGCTTCTCTGGGCAACCTGTGCCAGGGCCTCAGCACCCTCACAGGGAACAATTTCTTACTAATAATAAATCTAAACTACCTCTCTGCCGGTGTGAATACATTCCCCCTTGTCCTGCTACTACCTGCCCCTATAAAAAGGGCCTTTTCCTGCTGTCTGCTTTGCCTGGATCTAACAGTTGAGGAGAAGGATCTTCCTTACAGTCCTCCCAGGTTGCAGGATTACTGTTTGCGTGTGTAAAGCTAAGCCTTACATAAGCTTGCATAAACACTCCCATTTCAAGCTGTAAGGCTTTTCCTAGGCTGGCATTCCTAGAAATCACATTTTAAAATACCTCAATGTCTTTTTGTACTTATCTCTTCCTTTTAAATGTCTGTTCATGTGCATGTTTTACAATGTACATAATATATACTTGTTGTAGTACATATATATAATTCACAAATAAGTGTATATATTGTGGAACGGACAGTGAGTGTGTGTGTGTGTGTGTGTGTGTGTGTGTGTATTTTCAAGGACTTTTACTGATACAGGTGCACAATTATAAACTTTTAGAGATCACCGCAACAGAAGGAAGAGGTGGTAACCAACACATATTTTAAGTCTTAAGTCTGCTGTTGTGTTTTCCACATATTTTGCACATGTATGTATGCGCACAGGGAAAAGATGTGTATTTTATATATTACTGCATTATTTTTTTGTATTACATTAGCATATTTATTAGTATCTTTTGCATAGATTTAGTGAGCTTCCTACACACATACATTAAATTTATGCAATATACCTAACAAACAGCACACATATATTTGACACATTCTGCATTTAGATGTAGGTAGAACTGCAACTTCAAATTGTTTGACATATCACATTATAATTTACCATTTGCCTTCAGTTATAATTCAGCCAGGTTTTTGAACTCTTTGCATTGAATTTTTACATAATTTTACCCTGCTTCTGAGTTACTTTCTTTGGAGAGTTTGAGTAAGAGTGATTTAGCCATTTTTTTGAGAACAAAACTTGGGAAAAACAGCCAGTGTAACCTATGCTGAAAATTGTTCATCCTATGAACATCTCCAGCCACAATCAGGAGAAGAAATTTAGAGAAGAGCAATTTCCCCAAAGTCACCCACTTTTTCTTTTCTTTTTTTTTTTTTTTTTTGTGAAAATACATCCAGATTGGCCAATCCTTTATTTTTTAAAAACATCTTTTACTTTTGTGAATCTGACTCAAATCTTGGCTTTCCCAGTTGTGATCTCTGAATGGGGCTGAGAGGATAATATGTAACAATAAAGTCATATTTGAAGAAGAATTTTACTTGGACTTTCCTTTCCACTAAGTCTTGACTGACAGTGAGTGCACTCCTATAAGGAGATTTGGGGTCTATTCCTGTGTGAAGCTTAAGGTTAATTTGTATTTTCAGAATGCAGAGTTGTTCTAGAATTGCTTACCAAGACATTAATTTAAAAACATTCACTCACAGAGCCAGTCTGGCACAATGCTGCAATTGCAGAGTGCACATAATTAATGTCACACACACCTTTTAATGAAGATTTGTCTTTTCTTGGGCTTGTCATGGGTCAGCCTCTTCCACTCTGCATCATTTGATATAAATTCCTGTTCATTTTGTCATCCCTCATTTTGCTCTATTGTTGAGAAAGTTGTAAGACAATGTTCTCAAAAAAGGTTTTTTTTCCTTTTTCAACAGCTATCCTTGTCTTCTGTTGCAGTAGAGAGGGGTGTACCAAGCCACAGCCTGAAAAAAACCAACCAAACAACATTTCACAGCCTATTTGTATTCAACATCTTTTCATCAAGATAACTGGTATTTTGTAGATCAACAGGGAGGGCTGAAAGGGGAGGCATTTCAATGTGTCTCTAAGTTATTTAACATTTGAAAGATAAATACTTATCACCACCACCAAATTCCAGCTTTTTTTGCATCAGTCTTCAAAATCCATTTCCAGTTTTTAAATATTTTTAGGATAAATTCATCATCTAAGAGTCTTAAAATTCCATGGGTTGAATTAAGTAAAGAGGTTAAAGGAGAGAAAAGAGGAACAAGTATGGCCAAACTGAGTTAGGAGGGAAGTAAATGTGAAAAGGTGAGACTAAAAGTCATCATTCACTCAGCAGTTTGTAAGGGGTGAATTATGGTGCCTTGGGGAGGTTGTATAATTTACACTGTTTATGAAAATCACAGATTTTTTCCATATTCTCACTAGCTTGAGTTTGTGTAGCTAAAAATGACCAAACACACATTTACCACTAGGCTACTATGGGGTAAAAAATTATCTTGGGCTTTCTCTAATCCCCCAATTAACAGAACTTTGTCTAAAAATACTTGGCAGGATTCCAAGCCAATGGCAGCTCCTAACTGGGCAGCCTGGACTGGATTGCTCATGGCTGAAACAGGGGCAAGGACTGGGGGCTGCTCTCAGCAATTTCCTGGTTTCCTCCAGGTCCTAAAAATCAACATCCACACTGAAGCAGGGCTGACAGAGAGATCACAAGATTTCTTGTGCTTGATTCAACAAGGACTGTTCACAGCACGGTCCCAAATCTCTGAAGGAAGCCCAGTGACAGAGCTGCCACTGGACAAAAGTGGTGATTGTGCTCCCACTTGACCACGGGGCTCACAGGCAATGATTTGTCCTAAATCTCACCAGATCCTCCCAAAGAAAATTTGAGGGAGGTTTGTGAAGCACCTGCTGCTCAAACCTGCAAAGATTGAAGACAAAATGGTCCTGGATATTTATACAATATAAGAACCCAGTTAAACATCACGTTTTACATATACAATATAAGAACTCAGTAAACCATCAGGTTTTACATATACAATATAAGAACCCAGTAAAACATCAGGTTTTACATATACAATATAAGAACCCAGTAAAACATCAGGTTTTCCCTTTTCTCTTTGATTTGTGTAACACTGGTCACTGTTTGATCTGTAGTATCAAAGCTTAAAGAACTTCCAGCTTAGTTTTAGTGATTATTTTCAAGTACCTTTCCTGTGGATTAATAGAGATTAGCAAAGGCACATTTTTTCCAAGGTGTGATAGTAAATCCTGGGCTTTTTAGTCTGGCTTGCTGAGAGTAAGATTAAAAATAGGCAGTTTCTTTTATTTTCTAAATTACCAGGGGCATTGGAAGAGATCTGTGATATCAGCTTTAAAATTCCAGTCTCTGCTTGATTCTGGATTCCCCCTGTTCAGGGAGAAGCTGTCTCTACTGGAGACTGGACATTTTTTGTACTTTTATCCTTATACAAAAGATTTAACAACGTTGTGCTTTAAAATGTGAATGCAATTACCTGTGACCTTTATCACTAACACAGGAGAAAAAGGACCCATTATGAAAACATTTCTCTCACATGAGACAATCATAACATGTTTTTGCAAATGCAGAAGTAAAAAAAAAAAATCCTAAAGGATTTGGCATTTGCTATCTGTGGTAAAATAGCTGCAACCTTTTCCTGTGAGCCAAAGCAATTCTCACTCAATTTTAAAGGAGAAAGATCCTGAAAAAAATTAAATGCTTCCCTCCAAAAGTGCTTACCATACTCTGTCAAGGTCTGTTTGTGGTTTTTTCACACATCCACCAGAAGACATCACTGAGTGTGGCTCTTCTGAGCCCCTCAAAATTGCGTTTTCAGCTCTCTTATGGGAGGGCTCACACAGCACGAGGGCACAGACCTGGGTGATGAACAGATGTGTCCTCCTTTTATTCTGCCAAACCTCAATTTTCATCTCAGAAAAAGGAACCAGTACTGGAGGTAAGAGGGGCCTCAGGCCACATTCCAGCCATCTACTCTAGCATCTAAGAGGAGCACTTTGCCTTGGTTCAGCTGCTGCTCTCTCAGGGAGCTGGAAGGGCTCCCTGGCTGACACAGACACTATTGTGCTGCAATTTTAGATGCAATGGTTGGCAGCCTGAATATGACCCCTGGAAATTAATAAACCAGCAGAGGTTTTCTGCTTGCCTATGCTGGGTTCAGACTGAAAGAGAGGAAATTTAGGTCGAAGATGAGGAAGAAATTGTTCCCTGTGAGGGTGCTGAGGCCCTGGCACAGGGTGCCCAGAGCAGCTATCGCTGCCCCATCCCTGGCAGTGTCCAAGGCCAGGCTGGATGGGGCTCTGAGCAACCTGGGATAGTGGAAGGTGTCCCTGCCCGTGGCAGGGGATGGAAATAAATGATCTTTAAGGTTCCTTCCAATTCAAACCATTCTGTGATTCCATGAAACAGAAGCTGTTGCAGACACTCAATTAATTGCTCATCCCGGAGCCTTTTAATTATAATATTAACAGCAACATTTAGTTCACATGTTCAGGCTTTTTACATCACCATGGATGTTAGATGCACATATTTGTTGTTTTCTATTTAAAGCTTTTCTGGCTTGCAATGGAACCATCTGACTTCTCTTAGCTCCTACCTACCTCTCTAACTCTTATTCAAACAGGCAAAAAGATACATCTGAACTAGCTGAAGGGGAAGTAATCTCTGAAGAGCAGCAGCCCATGCACTGAATTTTTAACATCTAGTTCTGGCACAACATCAAAGCAGAGCACATCATTATCTTCCTTTTCCAGAACAGGAAAGTAAGGCACAGAGTATCATCATCATCTTGCCTAAAGTCATCTAAGGCAAAGCTAGGAACAGAGTCCCATCGCCAGAACTCTTGTTTATGGCTTTCTGTGCTGGCTAGCAGCTGTCCTCAGATAGTGGACACACTCTGGAAAGAAATACCATTTTTCTTTTTATTTTCAGATGAGATCCTACTCTAGTGACACCTCAATCTATACAGAAGCCCATAATAATTCCTTCAGCAGCAACACATAAAACTCATTTCCTTTCCAGATTTGTGGGTTTCTGATCCAAGGTTCACACCTCTGCTGGCAAACACTGGCACAGCTCAACATTCTGACAGTACAGGGAGCATTTAAAATGAGCTATGGCTGGAAAAAGAAACATAACAAAAAGGAATCTCCAGGATAGCCTCCCTTTGCTGGGCCACATGAAATGATGAACAACATGAGATGCTGGAGTTGTCATGCAAATGCCAGGCTTGTACTGATGATGGACATTTGCAGCTTTTTCTGAACTCACCATTATTTGTGTGTGAGCCTTTCTTACAACACAGATTTAACTTTGACTCTGTACCATGATGCTGAGAGTGAACCCTGGTCTGGCAGCTGAGAAAAAGCACTCAAACCCTCCCACATCAGGGGAAAAGTAAAATCCAGCCATTTGACATCCTGGTTCAAGAGATAATTCCCAATGCTTTCCTCTACTTCAGGGGAACAGTTCAGGCTCTTTCCAAAATGACTGCCAGGATCAACTTCACCAACTTTCATATTTCCAGTAGCAGTGAAAGTGCAGAAGTGGTTTGAAAGTGTAAAAGCATTGCTTAATTGAAAAGAAAAACAAAACCCATGTATTTCCACATAGCAGCTAGCTTAGATGTCAGTAATTACTGGTAAGTAAATGTACCAGAGGCAGAATATTTACAGCACTGCCACTCGACTTTTTATGCAGTGCCTTTCATCTGAAAAAATCCATTTGCATTAAAATTACTGAAGTCTGTTTCTCTTTCACATTTAGGTGGCATCCATTACCATCAGAAATTAAAAGACTCTTTGTGGGGCACAAAGTCATCAGTCTACTGTTTGAATTTGGGTTTGTCCAAATTTATATAGGTTACAGCCTCTAAGGCTGCCTTGACTATTAACTTCCTATGATTAGTGGGAGTTGTGTAGCTGATTCTCTTCTAAAGTTCAGACAATTCCTCCTGTCTGTCATGATTTTTTCCTTCCTGGAGAAAGACAAATCTTCATTATTAACAATTCAGCATTAACTCAGAGAGTCCATGTTCAACGACTTCAGAGATTTCAGCCCTCCCTTGTTTCAGAATCCCAACAAAGCAGGGTCTGTTTTGCATCTGCACTAAGATCAGGGACTTCTTGTGCGAGCTGGGGAACACTCAATCCCCCTTAAGCACAGGAAAACAAATTTATCACTCGAGTGTTCCTTTAAGTAGTGCACATGTCAAGGGAGCCCTTTCAAACCCTTAGTCCCAGCCTGCAATACTCATCATAGCTCTTAACAGACAGGTTGTGAATGAAGTCTAAAAAATGTTCAGCTTTCGTCGTGGCATCCACTGCAATAAATTTCATTATTTAGTACAGATGCAGTGCCTTGCCTGTCTTCTGTGCACGTAATGCTTTTGCCCTTGCCACATTCATCTTGTTCCAATAAGTTTAAGTCAGAACTCAGTGTGTTGGGACAACTCTGTCCCAACATCCCAGAGAGCCTATGTGCTTGCTTAAAATAGCCAAATCCTCATCCACAGTGTGACAAATACCACCCACCCACCCCAGATAACTCAGCAGAGTGGCGTAGCAGTGAGTCACACTTGCTCAGGACAGCCAGGCTGCCTCCAGGCTGCCTCTGGCATTGATGGATTTGGAAGCAGAGCCTCAGGGAGCTGCCCCCTCCACGTCCAGGAGATGTGCACAGCAAATGTAACACTTGGCTGCCTCTCCTCTGCCTTCCTGCAAACTTTGGGAACCCAGGAGGTCTCTGCTCCCACTTGGAGCTGCTCTATTTGTGCTTGGTGTCAGCACAGGGAGACTGAAGGTGGCTCTCCCCCTCTTCTGACTTTCATCTGGCTGCCACAGCCTGGCACGTTTCTCCTCCCCCACTGCCTGCAGAACCACAGTCTAAGCTGGCCACTGGAATAACTCAGCACAAAAAGTTTTGGGAGGACATTAATTTAACCTGATGATTTTTGGCAGTCTCTGCACTCTTCTGCATTGCTACAGCTGTAGGGACGGGCAGCTGTGGCTCAAAACTTTGGGAATGCTGCAACTCAGACACACAGCTGGTTTGTACATACATATCTATAGCAGGGGCCTGGGGCTCTGAAAACAGAATGACACCAGCAACAAAGAGAAAACCTGACACTTTTACCCTTAGGAATGGTCTAGACACAGTTTAGTCAATAGGAGAAACTTTTTAAACCAAAGGGAAGGAAAAGATCTTCCTGATTTCCCTGTATCTGTGGAAGGAAAGTTTTGGGTGCCAGTATGTGTCTAGGTGGAGGACAGAAAGAAACAGATGGGAAAGATGCCTCCTAAAATGGTCCAAAGAGGACTGGGCAGGGATGAACAGCAAACTTTATTCTCTGCCTGTTTATCTCAAACAGAGCTGCTAAGTCAAGAGTCCCTTTCTTGTTAACATGTGAAAATCTAAGAAAATAACCCAAGTTCCTTAAAAGTCAATGTCAGTTTTTCATATAGGCATGGGGTCTGCACACAGCAATAGAGAGAAAAGTGGAAGAAGAGCAGAAAGGAAGGAGAAGAGGCCACAACATCCAACACCACTATGACTCCACTCATCACAAAACTTTAGAGCAGGTAAAATTCTTCTCACTTATAAGAGAAAGTGGAGCTCTCTCACAAACTTCCTCACGTTCCTTCCTTCTTTTCCACTGAGACTTCACTCTTTAGTCAGTTATATTTGTTGTATGTTTCTTTACACTCAAATTGGCTAGTCTTTCAAATTTTGAGGGACTTCTTTGCCAGAGAATTCCTGGGGATATAGCTTTTCTTTGATAAAATCCAGAGTGACTAAATGAACAAAGCACTGGCCAAATTAACAAAGACTGACTAAAGATAAGATTCTTTCTTTGAACTGGAAATCCTGTTTTACCAGCAACAGTTTTTAAAGAATTCTAAAATAAAATATGAATGTTTCCACCTTTGTGTTCTGGTATATTATTTCTTGGCAACCAAGATTCACAATTTATTAATATCACAATCTATGTGTATGTCTCACTGGGAATTTGGACCTTAGCCTGTAGCACTTCCTACATTTGACCTTAAAAAATCCCAAATGCATAAGTTCCTTTAGAACTAATTTTCCCAAACCAATCTGGGTTTTGCACTAAGTGTCCATGCGGCTCTCACCTCCATCCAAAGCCCTACAGGAGGAAGGGAGCTGGTGGGGAAAGCGAGACCTGGGGGTTTCTCTAAGAAGTCACATAGCCAGGAAAATGCTGGATGTCAACAGACTTCTGTGAGTTTAAATGAGGGAGTAACTTCTCTAAGGAGATGTTCACTAAAGGCCTCAAAGCTTTTTTAGCAAGTTGCTTTACTTTCCAAAACAGAGGAGCAGCTCCTGTGAGACTGAAGTGCTAAAGTGTGTGGGGAAGGGTTGGTGACGCTGCAGTTTCTTCTGCTGTGTGCTGCTGTTCTCTGGTGGAACAGAATCCAAAGTTTTCCATGACATTGCAGAGGGGGAAACATGTCAGTGCTCTCAGCAATGGCCACAAGCCAGAACAGGACAAGTTTCACCTCAGCATGAGGAAGAATTTCTGTACATTGAAGGTGGCTGAGCGCTGGAACAGCTGCCCAGGGAGGTTGTGGTGTCTCCCTCTCTGAGGACATTCCAACCCCACCTGGACTTGTTCCTGTGTCACCTGCTGTAAGTGACCCTGCCGTGGTAGGGGTCCCAATAATCTCCAGAGGTCCCTTCCAACCATAACTCTGTGAAAGCAGACACCCCAAAACCAGAGCAGATTTAACTCTGCTCATGTGTGGAAGTCAGGGAAAGGTTTGGGGTGACATTCACATTCCACAGACACTCTGAATGTCTCTAAGCACCAGTGTCAGGTGCCAGGCATATGTGGCAATGCTGTCACCTCCTAGCACACAGCTAAGAGCTGAAAATCCTAAACCACTGAATCCTGATGCTGCTGAAAATCCCAATGGCTCAACTCCCATCCATGTCTAAGGATGACATGGGTCAACAATCTAATTAACCACATAACCTTCAAGTTGTTTTAAGCATGTTCATATATTCTCAAAAGCAAACAGATGTAAATGAAACTCAATTACAAACAATAAACCCAAAATGTCCTTTTTGGCCAAACCCATGAATTTCTAGTGAGTTTGTGTATATTTGTCTTGTGGCTTCATGGCAAACGACCTCTCATAGCAGTCATCAATGCTCTCTAGAAGTGTTATTAAATTATGTGTTCACACTGAGACACCCCAAGCATGTTGGATAACGCAAACCAAATTAAAGCATTGGGTATTGTGTACTACACCATAACTGTATTTATTTAAAAGGTATAACAAGAAAAGGTAGAGTTGAAATTCAAACTGAGTGGAGTGAACAAATGAAAGTGCTGCCATTATGGGATGTCATAACAGTAATGAACAAGTGAGAATTGAAAGAATTGTTTGATTTATGCCTTTAACAAGCTTAACCACACACAAAGCAAACTGTCATCGCCTTTTACTCTTTATCTGCAACAATTAGCAGAGCTAATGACTCCTTTTGCTTTCTGTATGAGACAAGATGTAATCCAATCCCCACCGGAGAAGAGTTCACACAATACAAGGAAATGCACAAAGGGGAAGGTGATCCCTTTTATCTCCTGGTGTTTATCTGGAGTTATTCTCTCCAAGCCCAGTCAGACACTGTGGTGTATCTCATTATTTGGAAAGTGTTTTGGAGCTCAGAACACAACTGGAGCTTTCATGCTGGCCTTCAAAGGGATCTTTTCATGGCTCTCCCTATAATATCCTGAGAATTACACAGATCTCTTTACAGAAACATATGCAAGGGGCACCATGGGTTTACAAAGACTAAGTCCATGTGAAAAATGCATATAAAGTCGACAGAATTACAAAATGAATGAGAGCAGGGAGAGCAGCAGGCATCAAAGAGCTGGGAGTCAGGAAAGTGTTTGATAGAGTGCCTCTCAAAATATTATTTCCCATTGGCTCAGACATAAATACTGTCACAGGAACTGTCTGAAGGACTGCAAACATGGAATAATAATAGACAAGAGGGTTGTGTCTCATATGTTTCCTATAGAGACAAGGGGTAGCTCTCATTTCATGGAGCATCTCTACTTGTGATGTGCGAGAGGGAATAAAACAGCTGGTTAATAAAATATGTAGATAACATTAAGTTGAGAGGAGAGGGTAGAGAAACACAAATGAGAGCAAGAGAAATAATACCAAGAGCCCTGGAGAGCTTAGAAATATGGGCAGGAAATAAGTGAGATGCAGCTTTTGGAAATTGGTGCACTAATTTATCAGGGGAGAAATGGCATTCACTGGAGGGAAAAGTATGGAGAGCAATAATGCTGAAAGAAGGAGAGGAGGAAAGCAATGATGCATTTGCAGTTTGAGAGAACAAAAAAGGCTGTTAGGGTTTTATGGCACTGTCCTTGTGGAGCAGTGAGCACCAAGTGGAAGATTCCCTTTGTGCTGCTAGAGAGAAGGAAAATGGGGAATAGTGATCCTGATGTTCACCAGTGCCTGGTGTGACCAGCCTTCACTTTGAGAAAACTCCTCCTAGGGGTAAGAGGCAGGTAAACAGAATTATCTCACTTCTAACCCAGGCAGCACAGTGTTCATACACTCCTCACATCTTATCCTAAGTCACAAATATAAGGACTCATCCTTGGCTCTTTGTTCTGGTTTAACTCCTACACTGCCAGAAACTCTAGATTTAGGCTGACATGAGACCAAAATAAAATGTACTGAGTTTGTTTTCAGGACATTTTATCACCAGAAAATTACTGACAATTAACAACGAATTCTGAAGAGCAAGGGATCCAAGGGTGAATATGTATGGAGGGATAAAAGAGCTGAATGCATGTCTTCAATAGATAACCACAGGGATCACATGTATGAGTGTAGCAGGTGGGTGGGAAATCTCAAAAAGGAATGGGAAGCCTCAAAAAGGCAAAGCCCTTGTGCAGCTGAACTATCACCAGTAAAGTATCCCTGTAAAATGAGAAATGGTTTGAGTATTGTGTAAGCAATCTCAGCAATATCAGCAGGCCTATCCAATGAACAATGCAGTAGAAAAGTCTGCAGCAGGCAGTGTCCACATGGGATAAACCTTAAAACTGGAGTTGTCAACTGTTGTCCCCTCCCTGGAAGAGACAGATCCAGGATAATTGAAACCAGCTGAGGATCTGTGTTTCTAGCTCTCTTCCAGACTTAGTACATGTGGCACTAAATTAAAGATGGCAAATGCCTTTTTTGGGACAACTAACTTCCCCAGGAGACAATTTTTAATTTTTTAATGGGATTTCTAGGTGGGTGTAAACCACCTAGAGCCCACTTCACTCCTTTGGCTGCCTGTTCCTGCCTCAAATACTTCAGGCAGCCCACAATGGTGGGACCCTCTGAATCCCCTGCAATATCAGTTCTGTTCTTGGGTTCAAAATTATCAGCTGAAGACAAGGCCAAGTCAGCCATGAAGTCTATGTAGTCTCCTTTTAAGGACTGCCTTCTCAAGGAGATATCTCTGTATTAACAGCCACTGAAGGGGACATGGTGAAAGGAGGTGATTTGTCCTTTCTGAGAGTGAAGTCCAAGGTGGGGGAAGTTGCCCCTGAAGCAATGAATGAGACATTTATATTTCAAAGCCCTTGATGTTCTCCAACATCCTCTTGGATAATTACTCAATCCCTATCAAGAGTTTGTTTGTTTGTGTTTCACATCTCATGTAAACAAGATACTGCAGCAAACACCTTCTCTTCCTACAAAAACAACCAGAAGAAAAGTCCCAAAAGTGCCTGTACCTCAACACAGACTTTTGGTAATCCTCCTCAGCAGATTCCTTCCAGGATTCTCCATGCATCCCAGGCTCTGGGCAATGTTCCTCCAGTCAGCAAACAAAGGTGGTTCTGGCATTGTCCAGTTTGGCAGTTCAATATCATCTCTGGGCTGAGCTGATGAGCAAGCAAAAGGCAAAGACATGGAGTTATGCAATATTAACAGAAAGACAAATTATGAGAAACAAATATTTTTTTTCTTTTTTTTTTTTTGGGTAACAAAAATGGAACATTTAATTTCCTCTTTGCCTCTAATTGCAAGGTGACGCTTTAGAAACATTTCTCTCAAAGCATTAAAATCTATGGCTATAAAATAGAGCACAGCTGGCAAGCTGAGTATTTCTTACTGACACATAGATTTATGACCTCACTGGAAATACCTTGGGTTACAACAAAACCAATAAATTATGCCATCAGCAGTATAATTGTCACCCTGCAACTTCAGTGCTATTAGTCAGCATTGCATCAGCTGTGAGTGAATACCAAATATATCAAGGCTTCCTTTCAATTTCAAAATGCAAGTGGTAACATCTCCTAATCTCCTTTTTATTGCCATTTTCAAATATAAATGTTCAAGAAGAGCCCTCCATCCTGGCCAGGGCTAGGAGAACCAGAGGGAGGAAACATGCCCAGTGAATCTGGTTTTTACCACATAAACTTGGCTCACCCACATCTTCCAACAATCAAAACCCTTTGCAGTGCCAGTTCCTCAGACTTTACAACTGAGAGTTCCTTCAGTATTTTGTGCAGTGAATTGTACAAGACTCATCCCCCTCACCCCCTCCCAGGCATTCTATCTCTAACCACATGTGGTGGGGAAGGGTAAATTTTGGGGGGAAATGGATCCCTCAGCTCATCTTAGCACTGAAGTGACTGGAGCAGAAATCAGCTTTGCTTGGATGAGTGTCTGGGTCAGGCAGCATCCCTGCAATGCAGATCAGTCTCACCAGCTCCCTGGGAGTGTTGTTGACAGTGTTAGTTTTCTCCATCTGAGTTTTTTAATCACAAGAACCAGGATGTTAGAAACTCTGCCATTCCTTCTTGTTGTGCATTTCCTCACTGGGTGGTGATGGCTCTGCACTAGACACCCTTCCAGCAACATTTGTGACCATTCCCCTGGGACAGTGGTGCTGTTCTACCTGCCTGGGTTAAACTAGAGACAGGGACAAAAAAGTGCATTAACACAGGGGCAATAAGGAGGTGAAACATTTCAGCACAAGCAGCCTAAAGATAAGGCTACAGCTGGAGTTCAGCTCAATGGAGTGCAACCCAAGTTGAGGATGAACCAAACTAGGAAACATTAAATAATGACCTTTGGGCCTTTGGTAGCAGGGAAACAACACAAAGGGCAGAGAGCTCCCTAAGGCAGGAACTAGAAAGGCTGGGCTGTGTTTTTCTGGGCTGGAGCCTTTGCTAGATCAAACACTGGGAGCTGGCAGTCGCAGGGCGAACAGACTGTGTTGGAGCTGCTTTTCATTGAAGTGTCAACAAGCCAGTCTGTTCCCCAGCTCAGACCAATTGTTGCTTTTGCTGTTGCTAGGATCTGGTATCCTCAAAAGGGGCTTATGGGGAGCCTCTAGGAGGGGCCCTGGCACTGCTGAAATTCCTCGGGATCAAATGACTCCTGTTGAAACTGCTGTCTGAAGTGTGATAGTGCTCCACAAACAACAGGGGGAAAAGCTGCAGGAGAAGCCTCCAGGAAAGCATCTCTTGGGCAATGTCCCCTCTCCTGTGCCACCCTGAACTCTGGGAAATCCCATCTTCATCAATCATTAAGCTGCCTTAGAAATTTCTCCTGAGAGAGAGGAAGCTCTGAGTTCAAGCACATCACATCCAGATCAGGGCAATGATTTTAATTACAGATTTCCTCTTAGGGGATTGGACTAGCTCCGAGGCAATGGTGTGGAGGGACCAAGGGTCTGTCAACAAATCCCCTGTCTACTATGCTTCAGTGTTCACCAACACACATTTGGGAACAGGAGGGAAGGACTTGAGGCTAGTGCTGGAATAACCTAGTCTAGTGGAAGGTGTCCCTGCCCATGGCACGGTTTGGAACTGCATGATCTTTAAAGTCCCTTCCAACCCTGACCATTCTATGATTAAAACATTTTCACAACTTCTTTTTACCTTTAACAGCTGTTTCAGGGCAGGAGGATGTATACTACTTTCAGGCAGATTGGGTCTTTCTTTGATTTCTAAATTCCTGGGGTGAAACCCACATTAATCCATCAATACTTTGGAGATGATCAGTGCTGCACTTTTGGAAAAAGGGTGTCAACCTCTGCCAGTTCTGTGGCAAAAAAGTGCTGCTGGAATAAGCTGCAGGGGCTCCCTGCCCAGCCCTTCATTACATCCCTCCACTGAAGTGTTTTGATTTGGTTCAATAAGCAGGAATGAAACATTTGAACTGAAGAATGGCCAAGCATTTTGTTTAGGTCAAATGAAACATCCCGACCTTTCCAAACACGCTGCTCCCCGAGCAGCTGAATTAATGAAGCCTGGTTTCTAATGACTTTTTTCCCTTAATTCTGTTTTCCCTTCCCCCCACCCTGGCATGATTTTCGTTCCCTGATAACTAATAAATGGGAAGGAGGAAAGGAGGGAAGGACAAATCAACCTTTGCTTTAAGAGGAGCACTAAAACTATCTCTCATGCCTGACTGTCAATTTTCAAAAAATCTCTAGGACTGCATCCCTGAGGACACTATCCCATGACAACCTGGAATGGAAAAAACTGGACCATGTATTTCAAAGTTATTAAGCTTAAAAAAATGAGTGTATATGCACAAGGACTGGTAGCTAGGAATAAAAATATCAAGTTTTTCTTTGTTTCTCCCAAAATGGCACATTTCCTTTTTTTATCACTATGTGAATCAAATGTCAAAATATCAATTGCTCACTCTGGTCATAACTGTGGCAGCGTGGGCATCTCTGTGGTCCCTATGACAAAGGCAGGATGAGATAAACCTATGAAGGACAAGCCTGAAGAACACATTGATCCATCTGCTGTGGACCTTGGAGTGATGGAATCTAGACCAATAACTCAGAAGGCTGCTGGAAGGATGTCTATGATTCTATCTCAACTCTGTTCTGGATGAAAAAAATGACCCGTCAGTAATTCTTCCAGAAAATGATTTTGAAAACAAGATCAAAGCATACACTGGCCTCTTTTTCTACTAAATAAATAAGTGAAAACAGGATCTTATATGGGAGCAAGTCATATCAGTGTAAACCTGGAGAATGACACTGCAGCCTATTCCTCTTTTATAATCTACATGTTTTGAGGTGCCAGCTGTGTGGATTTCTCCCTTAGAAGGATGACCAGGCAGTGATTCAAGAGGTTCCTGATAATTTGCCAGCACAGGGCAAAAAGATTTTCAAAAATCTTTTACCATGATCTTACAGGAATTGCTGAGTTCTCCATACTAAGTTCTTCCAAAAAAGTCTTTGTCCTTGTGTTGCAGTTCTGGTATCCTCAAAGGGGGGCTTATGGGGAGCCTCTAGGAATTTCGTGGTTCCTTTATGCCATTCAGGGGACCTTGCAGAATTCCTTATTGTGACACTGCTGCAGAGTCAGGACAGCAAGAGAGGTTCAGGAGATGGAGCTGGGTGGAGTCCCTCAGCTTCACCTCTTGGAGCAGGAGGTGGGGCCCTCCCAAGAGCCACAAAGGGTGGGAGCTGCACGTCCTGTGAGGACAGCATGGTACCCCAGCAAGAACTGTTCTCATGCTCATGAGCCCCATGAAGCCATGGAGAAGGTAAGTACATTATTTACCTCTCAGAGCCAAGCAGTTTAACTGATGCACATTTTTTAAAAGAGTGTGTGAGATCCCACACAACATGCCTGTAAATACAGAGGCACTCCCTGCACACACAGAGCATCCAGCACTCCCAGGGATTCCCTGGATCCTTGCTGTGAAATTGAAGAGCAGAAAAAGCACCACAGTTCATACAATACTGGCACAAGCAGGGCACTTTCCAAGTGAAAAACCAAAGCCTGGTGGCACTTGTTGAAACCTCCAAGGAAGAAAAGGTGTGTTTGTGTTAATCCTGGTAAATATTCCTGAAAATGCTATTTTGGCCACACAGCTGAGGCTGACCATACACAACCTTGGCAGAAAAGGAGTTTCCTTCTCAAACATCTGGCTTTCATCTGGGCAGACACATTCAGCCAGGCCGTTTATTTTATGAACCCCACCTGCACCTCTGTGCCTGAGCCTCTCTGCCTGTGCGGGCAGGCAGGGCTGAGTGTCTGCTGTAGGTTAAAAAATTCACAAATTAACTTAATTAGTTTCTGCTTCCACCTACAGTGCTACAAGTGCAGAGAGATTTCAGTAACTTAGTGAAATGACTGGTGGGTTTATACAGGTGTTAGTGAGAGCACAGCTGAGCCCAGAGAAAATATTCACACAGAAAAATTCACAGAGAGTGGAATCCAATGCATCACAAAACCCCTGCTTGTGCAATGGATGCCACTGGGCATTAAAATACATTATGAAAACCTTAAACATAGATAAATTTGTTTCAAGCATCATGCTGGAGAGAAAAAGATGTTTAACCACCACTGTCACTGTGATATTTTCTGAAAAATCCCTTCACCAGGATTTCTTCTCCTGGGAAGCTGGGAAGCTTCAGCTTCTCCATGTTTTGCTGCTCTGGAATGTGGTCTAGAGATTGTTTATCCAAACACGTGAATTGTTTTTAATTAGTGACCAATCACCATCAGTTGTGTCAGACTCTGAGTCAGTCACGAGCTCTCATTTTCATTCTTCCTAAGCCTTCTGATGTATCCTTTCTCTTTCTTTATTATAGTTTTAGTATAACATTCTTTATTATAATATAATATCATAAAATAATAAATCAGCCTTCTGAGAACATGGAGTCAAATTATCATCTCTCACCTCATCCTGGGGACCTCACAAACACCACACAGCCCACCCTGCCACCCTTTTGAGTTCCAAGCTCAGTGCCTGCACTACATATTGGAATTAAACAGAGTAATTAACCACAGCCTCCCTGCATTAAAGGAGGAAGTTAAGGACAAAAGTAGCCTGGGAATGACACATCACAATCAAAAACCATGCAGATTTGTTTTCCACATAAACCTCTGCTGTTCCTAATCACAAAGGCCAAAGATGAGCCTATGTTGATGAAAATGACTGGGGAGCTCTTTAGTTTATCAACTAACAAATGGCTCCAGCAGGGGGAAAAGCAGAAGGTATATGCTTCTATATATTGCTTGATATAATACCTAAATTATATTTATGTTGTGTTATCATGCTATCCTACATTATATCATATTATCTATTTTATGATTATTTACATGTACACATACAGACACCTACATAGATATATGTCTGTGAACAAATGAATGGTCAGCAGGACTCATCAAGCCCTTAAACCAACAAGGTTTATCAGTGCAAAACACACTCCTTGTCTCAGGGGGATCAGATCACTGAAGCAGGTATTATATTTGAAAATCTGCTCTTTGCTCCTCCAGACTTTCTAAGCAGAAGAGATCAGAAGTGCCTGTGTTTACTGATGTATGTGCAGCCTTATGTTTCCCTTCCTTTGATTTTGTGGGCTTTGGCACTACAGCTGGTAAGCGAGCCCTCTTCCTCTCACTTTAGTTTGCAGATCTCTGGCACGTGCAGGTTTGAACTGCAGGGAGTAGCAGGAGGAGAACTGTGCCACTGAAATTCCTGGCTGCTCCAGGAACCTGCAGCACAGCTCAGATATTGAGTGCTCAGTGGAACCTGAGCACACACTTCTTGCTAAGTGGGTAGAGAAAGAAGAATGAAAATAAGCATGGTCATTTCAGCAATTCCTCACACAATTGTTCTTCCTCTGCCTTTTCCAGGCACAGCAGTTGCTTGTGGCTTCTTGCTTTGATCAAATAGAAGGAAGCAGTTTTCTTTAATGTTGTGTGTGCTGGAAACAAATTCAGGTGATATTTCAGAAGTTCCAGGTGGTGGTTCCCACTCTCAGGATCTACTTGGAGAAGCAAAGGGCTCCTCAAGTTCAGCTGGGAAAAGCTCAGAAATTATTGAGGTGAGCTTGGGTTGTCAAGTCTGCATAGGCTGCTTTGCCTTGGGCAAGTTTCTGTGCCTCCCAAACAAAGGATTTATGGAAATTCAGCATGCAGGGCACTGCAAGTTGTCTTGGAAGAACACAAAGAAGAAGCTGAGGGAGCTGACTGGGACCTGTCTGGGATTTACCAATCTTCTTCCCCCAAAGGGAACTGATATTAAAACAGGTCCACCAAGGGAAAAGGAAGGGCAACAGAGAACAGCTAAGACTAAGAGCACACAAAGTATAGGAATTAAACTTACTGGCCTTGGGCAAGTGGGAAACCTGAGAAAACTGAGATTTCATGCAAGCTCTGACCATGCAGGCTCAGGAGTACTTCCAGAATAAACATGGAGAGAATGTGAGCACCAAGCTCTGCTCTGGGAGGGTGGAGGGAGTGAGGAGGGAGCAGTTCAGAAAGGAAGAGCTGGCAGGAACTCAGGAGGCAAAATTGTGTCTAGCACCACATGACAACAACATAAAAACTGCTCTGTCATACTCTTACAGGGACTGCCTGACATTCTTCCTTGGTAACAGATTAGTTGTGAGGGTTGGTGACACAGACCTTTCTTTATCTGTTCTCAAACTCAAAAAATCTGAGTTATGACCACTTGAATATATTTTTTAAAGTGATGTACAGCAAAACAGGAAATAAATTAAACAGAGATTGAACTGTTCATTTAACTCTCCCACCTGTTTTTCCTCCAGGCACATCTCTGGGTGACCTGATTGCACTTTCCAGGAAGGAGTAATTCTGGACTTCATTCAGTGCTTCTTTCCTGGCAAGAAGGTCTTGCACCCCCCAATCACAGAATTATCTGAAATCAGAGAGAAAAGGGTTCTGAAGCCATGATCACATCACCCTACATAACATGGGTGAAAAATTTGGATATGAAAAACAAAAATTTGGATATGAAAAACAAAAATTTCATTCATATTTTGATCACTGAGGTAAAGGAACTTCAAATGTCTTATAAATTTGGTTACCTATAGTTCTGATTTTTTGAGCCAAACAGGATGGTGTCCCTGTGGGGGGGAAAAATAGGAACAAAAATGGTCCAATATCCATTAAATCTCAAAATTCAGCCAGGTGTCATTAGTTTCTCAGATAAGTGTGTGTCTGTATTTGCCATTTAAGTAATGGGAAAATAATTTATAATCAATAATTAAAGAGAGCAAAGAAGATAAATGGTGCTAAAATTTTGAGTCATCTTTATTGTACCAGGTTGGAATTTCTGTCTTATGTACATACACGCAAAAAAAGAGTTCCTAAAATAACCATACAGTGGTGTGCACTTTAAAGGCAAAACAGAAAAGCAGCAGCCCCAAATCCCACCAACACAAAGTGACCTCTGAACTCTTATCCAGGAAAAAGCTGGGAGAACTGATACTTGTGCACACAAACCAGTTATGTCACTCTGCTGGAAGAGGCTCCCTGTGGCACAGTGTGAGTCAGGTACAGCATCCCCAAACATTCCTGGTGTGTGGCTGTGAGCAGCTGGACAAACCTCCTGTGGAAATGTGCAGAAATCTCTCATGCACTGGCTGAAGAAGGCTGTCACAGCTGCCCAGAGTGGGTAGCAAGGTAAATCCAGGCACGTGCAAAAGCACTGGGGAAAGAGGTTCCTGGGGCTCCTGGGAAATTGCTGTTCTGCTTTCCTGAGCAGGGAGAACAGCACGAGGCAGCACAGAGAATTTACAATCAATTAGGCTGGAAATGACTCTTAAGATCATGAATACCAACCACAGGCAGTCCAGAAGCCTCCTGGCACACTGCAGGGTGGGAAGCTGTCTTTCCCTCCTCAGGAAGGGCCAAGACACCTCAGGGTCAGCTGGCACAGTGGGCAAGGGGTGCCAGTCCAAAAGTAATTCAGTTTTGCCACAGACAGGACCCTGGAAGCCACAAGAACCATTAGCCCTGAGTACTGTTTGACATGTGGGATCAACTTGCTCACTGAGGGTTTTGACCTTCATCAGGCCATGTACAAGAGGCAGTATTTTGTAATCTGCAAGCAAATTGAGCTACTTCTTAGCTTGAGTACAATAGGTCAGTGCCCCACTGCTGAGCATCACACTTCCAGTGCCATCATTTTTCTTTCACCATGACAAAAACGTCCAGAATTTGATTATAGCTGCATCCCGGATGATTTGTGCAATCAGTAACCATAAGCTATGGTTTCAGAGATTAAGAGATGCCCTATAAATTATGTACACACAGAACACGGCAGCTGAAACATTTCTAGAAAACAAATCTTAAATCAGACTTGTTTGTAGAGCCCCTGGAGATCTCATCCTTCCCCAGAATAAATGAGTAGGGCTAAAGACGTCTCTGTGGTTTGGATGCTGCCAAATCAGTGCGTGTCACAAGTGAACTTGTGGCTCCTGCACCACACTAAATTTGGGAGCCTGGGTTTTGCAGTATAAATATTTTGAGAAAAGAACAACTATCTCAATGCTAAAATAATATAACTTCAGTCTGGGTCGAGGAACTAACAGAGGAAATTTTGCCATGTGAAACCGACAGTGCCACAATACACTTATAAACACAACTAGTCTGGGTTAAAGACATATCCCAAACACTAAACAAAGGTTACCTCACATATAAACAGGGACAAAAAATAAATGTAGGGAGTCATCAGTTCCACTTTGAGGAAAGATGAGCTGGCTAATGTAAAGAAAGCATTGCCTTGACTTGGATTGGCACAACGCCATTTATGATCTCATTAAAACAAAACAAAAAAAAATCCCAACTTTAGTTCATATGTTTTTCTGAGTCATGGAGATAAACCAAATGAAGTTAACTGGAGTAGCCTTTAGGAGAGCCAGCCTGAGAATGGTTTTTCCTTCCCCAGAGGTTTCCCTGACGCTCCTTCTGCCAACTAAAGCCAGCACATCTGCTCAGACCCAGGTGAGTGGTGCTGCCACCAGGCCAAATTCCTCTCCTTCCTCCTCCAAACCCAGACTGGGAACTCCACAGAGGTATTCAGGGGTCAGGGAAATTTCCCTGTTATTTAAAAAGTTTCCCTCAAAATCAAACCTGAAGCTTTTGATGTCTTCGTTCTACATTGCAAACTAACAAAGGGGACAATAATAATTAACCCTGCATTTCAAATGTTAATTACAGAGGCATAGGTCTGATAATAAAAAGTACATTTCCAGTGAACTTCAATTAACCCCAAAGGCTTGCCTTACTCTACTTTTAGACTTATTACTACACAATAGAAAGATTTATGATATTTGGATTTGAAACACAAATGTAATTTAGGGACAGATGAGTTGTGAGATGAAGAACCATCAGTTTGCCACTAAAATATTTTGCTTGAATGCACAGTTATATCACTATTAGTCAGTACATTTGAGTTATTATTTACTAATATTGCTGATACTTAAACACACATAGAACAGCTCCTGGGAGCAGTACACATGATGAGACTGTCATATATAAATATATATTTAAATCCTATGTACATGGGGGGCAGCTCAGGTTAATCGAATGCTGATTGAGTGTTCAGTTTGGCTGAATGCTCCAGACAGATCTACATTCATCACTTCCAGGGTGAAAATTCATCTTGCTCTCACTAGTTGTTTCCTAATCAGCTGACTGCTCAATTCTCTTGATTGCTCCCTCTGACCACACTATGGCTGGCTGCATCCTTTGCCTCCCAATCACACTAATTGACCTCTTAGTCAAAAATATTCCAGGTTTCAGTGCTCTGCTCACAGCTAATTGCACCCTAACATATAATTTTGGCTGAGCATTAAGTGTGCATTTCCAGGATGGGCACAATATTTTAGGAAGCACTTGAATTAGAGGATTAGTGGAAATAATCTGCATGAAGGCACCACGTGTGGTCCCATGATCCTACAAAACCTGGGAGACAGCAATTAACTTAGGGTCTGTCCAAGAGCTGGGGCAGAGAGCTCAACTGGGCCTGTATAAGAAATCACAGTGTTTCAAACAAAATTTACCAACCCAGTTCTGTGCCAAGCTAGCATCCATCCATGGAACGCTGTTGGCCTCTCCCACTTACCAAAATAAGGTTCTGTTAGAACCCCACCATATCCCCCATGCTCTCCATGTGTTACCCAAATTGAGAGTTATTAGGAGCCAATGAGATTTAACACAAAAATTTAAAAGCAGGGTATCCAAGGAGTGACTCTGCTGCCATTAAAGATTAAAATAACACCCTGTGTACAATTTGCACAAACAGCAGGGAGCAAGCTGGATAGTGCTGGGAAACTTATCTTTGTCAAGAAAAGTATCTGTTGTTGGAAGATGGAAATTAATTTGGGAAAGTGCATTCCAGTCAACACTTTGTTTGCATTATGTGCTGCTAGTGCAAATTAAGCAACATATAAAGTTTACCCAAGGTTGTTAAAGGTTTGTTTGCTGCCAAGAAATTGGATTCTTAACACTAACCATTTCTGACAAATCAAGGAAATCCAGCATGTAAAAACAGCAAGCAGCTTGCTTACTGAAAAAATGTACTGTCCTCTATATTTAGAGATTTACCTACCGTTTTGTTCCAGATCTACTTTTAAAGGCAAAGAATTTTGCAGATCTGACCTTATTCCAGATGACTCTGGAGAACTAGGAAGCACATCACAGAGAATATGTGCTCAGAAAGCAGAAAAACTCCAAATGTGAAAAGCAGAATTTCTGTGGGGTTTTCCCAAGAGGTTGCCGTGTGTTATCCTGCACCTGGTGTAAGCCCTGAGACCCCACCTGCACACTCAGAGCTGGAACTCCCTGAACCCCTCCCTGCAACTCTCAGAATATTTCTTAGTTTTCAGAGTTATTAAATTAATACCAGTAACAACAATACCAATAATGTTCTGCTAATAGATCTTCACACAATTTGAAGGGACAGCAGAGGGCATATGTGGTCTTACTACCAAGAAGGAGCTATTTGAGAGAGCTCAGAAGCAGAAACTTTAGCATCTTCTGTGATAACAAGCATGGGAAGAAGAAAGCTGTTCTTGTCTGCTTAACTATAACGTGTAACAATGGTAGGGCTCCCTGTGAAGGTGCTGTTAGAACCTGCACAGCCTAACCAGGTCCATGAATCCAACAGGAGGTCAAAAGCAAGATATTAATTGATTTCTTGTCATTCTGAGATAATTTAGGGGCACCTCATCTTAGCTAACACGTGTCCCATGCTCAGACAGGGCTTTGCCTGAGCTCCCAGCTGATGGAGATGGATGAGAGCCCCTGCACCCATGGAGATCAGCCCTGGTCAAGGCTCCTGCTGCAGAATTTTGGCCAATAATCAGGGATTTTAAAGCTTTCCACTGGTTCTGGTATGTTCAGAGAGAGGATGTAGCATCCCTGTGTTTTGTCCATTTCCCCATTTTTCATCATTTAGACCTGTTAAATTCTTCCAGCACACCTTTGCTAATCTGAGGATTTAATACCAAGGAGAGGGACCTGGCAGGCCTGACTGGGGGAAAGTATTTGGAAGTGATAGAACATACTAATTTTTTTTTCCTTCTAATTCCTGTGGCACTTCCCATTGGGTGAGGGCTGCAGTACCTTCAGGGTCCAGTGTGCAGGTGGAAGCAGCAGCAGCTTTGAGAGCACATTTGAAAAGCAGTTTCCGTATTTATCCATCCCTCCAGGGGATGTGCAGGTGCTGTTGAGCACCATGTTGCTATGGCTACTCCTGGAGCACTACCTGAGCCCACTGAGTGCCAAAACCAGCCCAGGAGGAGTCTGTGAGAATGGCAGTCAGCACAATTAATGCAAGGCAGAGATGCTCTGAGCCACCATCCTCAGCAAACACACTTTGGGCAGGTGATGGTTTGGGATTTGCAGTCC